CCATCAAATATTTTCTAAACTTAATATATTGTTTCGGGGTCACTTTTGTCAGAAAAACTCCCTCTAGCGCCTAAACGGTGAGAGATAGAGCCAAACGGACGAAATTTTAGCCCGAGGGCTCTACTTCCACGAGTTACCCCTTACGAGACAATTAAAAACATATTTTATTACCACTTCTTGGACCAACCCCTATTCCTTTGTTACCCCCTCAGACCCACTCAGGGGTGGTTGCCAGGATTTGCACCAACCGTTTCGTTGTACAGAAGTGACAACAATAATACCCTGAAAATTTCAGACCTCTAGCTCACGTCCTTCTTGGGGAACGGACAGACGGACAGACAGACAGACAGACAGACACAGAGGCGATGGCATAAGCCCACTTATATAGCTTTTAAGCAAAAGAGCGGGCTAAAAATGTACAACTCTGCATGCTTAGTCGAAGTGACGGGAAGTTGACGGGCCGGAGGCCCGTATCTTTGTGTTCATAATTGCGATACCGGACTCGGGTGTCAGCGCCGCAGGCCTAGGTAGATGTATGCTAGGCGCGTCGCAGCGTAACAGTGTTTCGTGAGATATCGCGAAGCCTGTTACGCGAGACGTGGTCTGGCGTACATCTACCTAGTTAAAGTTTGATTGTTTGTCACTTTGTTCTATCATGTACAAGATGTACATGTGTATTGTTGGCTGAGCGATTAGCGAAGCCTATTACTCCGTCTGGTCGGAAAAAACTTTTTCTGTCTGTCTGTCTGTCTGTGTATCTGTCTGACTGTCTGTGTATCTGTCCGCACGAAAACTCGAAAACAAATTGAGCGAGCGACCTGGGATTTTCGGGGTCGTTTTGTATCATAAAAAGGCAGATCGAGTTCAAAAATGAGCATTCTAGCTCAAAAATTGGATTTTTTAAAAATCGAAAACAACAAGTCCCAAAAATGACGTTGTTAAAAATATTTTTCATGGTGTCCCAATGGGCAACACATCAAAGTAGAGCCCTACGTACGAAAATTTGTCCGTTTTGCTCTAGCTCAAACCGTTGAGGCGCTAGAGGGTGTTTTTGACGAAAATAAGCGAAAAAATGTACAACCCTGCATGCTTAGTCGAAGTGACAGGAAGTTGACGGGCCGGAGGCCCGTATCTTGGTGTCAATTTTTGCGCTACCCGACTCGGGTGTGAGCGCCGCAGGCCTAGGTAGATGTATGCCAGG